ATATAATAAAACCCTAATATGCAAATCGACTGAATAGTGGAACCATTGGTCACTATGACGCACACTGACCACCAGGGGCAGACACTCAATGCAGGAGCTGCCCCCCGGTGGTTAGTGCGCTCCCATAGGCGGAGCGCTGCTCAGCCAGAAGCCGGGCTCACGGCTGGTGAGCGCAATGGCAGTGGCAGGAGCCTCTCCCACCTCCGCTGCAGGCAGAGGAGTGAAGGGGTCCCAGACTGCGAGAGCCCCAGACTGCAAGAGGGATGTCTGACTGCCAGCTTAGGCCGAACCCCCCGGGGATTGGCCCTAAGCCAGCAGTCAGATATCCCCCAGGGGTCCCGGAATGCAAGAGGATGCAGTATGTATATAAGTTCTTTGGTTAATCTCTTCTTGCCTCCCCTTCTTTCTTGCCTCTCCTCTTCCCCTCTGAGATATGTCAGTCTATTCCATGCCTCCATGCCTCTGAACCTATTTTGTTCCTCAGTTTATTATGTATTAGATTCCCCTTATAAATGAGGTCATGTGATACTTGTCTTTCTCTGACTGGCTTATTTCGCTCAGTATGATAATCTCCAGGTCCATCCATGCTGTCACAAAGGTTAAGAAATCCTTCCTTTTTACAGCTGCATAGTATTCCATTGTGTAAAGGTACTGCAGCTTTTTTATTCACTCATCTTTTCGTGGGCACTTGGGCTGTTTCCGAATCTTAGCTTCCTTCTTAAGGCTGAATAATATTTCACGTTTTGTTTATCCATTCATCTATCAATGGACATAAGTTGCTCCCACTTTCTGGCTATTGTGAATAATGTTGCTCTGAACATAAGTGCAAATATCTCTTAGGGTCCCTGTTTCCAATACTTTTGGGTAGGAACTCAGAAGGTGAATTGCTGGACTACTGGTAATTCTATTTTTAATTTTTTGAGGAACTGCCATATACTGTTTTCCATCATGGCTACAGCCATTCACATTTTCATCAACAGTGCACAAGGTTCCAATTTTTCCACATCCTCACCAACACATGTTATTTTCTGTTTTGTTGTTGTTGTTTTCTGTTTTTATGGGCATAGCCACCCTAATGGGTACAGGTGGTACAAGTCTTTTTAATTAAGATATGCGAATTGTAGTTTTTTTTCCCCAGTCTGTGGCTTGACTTTATAGTCACTTAACAATGTTTGAGTACAAGTTCTTAATTTCCACACTAAAGTCTGTGTGGTGAGCTGATATAGGATTAAGCCTCGGACTGACCTGTTGGCAAAGTCACAAACAAGTCCCAGCTTAGAGGGCACAGTCCTTAAGCATAATTAGGCTTGACCTTATGACTCTCCCTAGATCTTATCTGGGAAGCTAATGGGCTGAGGGAAGTGCAGCAAGAGCAAGAACAAAAACAAGTGAAACTCACAAGAACAGTGTAAACAAGTGAAACTCACAAGAACAGTGTAACTTTGGTAACCACTACCTTGTTTACCTCTGACTATAAAATAAAGGCTCAGTTTGCCTCGGGATCTTTCTCTGTGGCCTCAGCCGGACACAGGAAGATCCACGGAGACTAAAGAGACCTAGAGAGTTCTGAACACTGTCTCCCTGTAAAACATTCTTTGCCGACTCTGTCCACACCTTTGGGAACCCCTGGACCGCTGGGGCTGGACCCCGGCAAGTCTGCAGTTCCTTTATGTCATATCCAACAAACTTTTGCACAACCGGTATCACAAAGATTTTTCTCCTATGCTTCCTCCCACAGGCTTTATAATTTTAGGTGCTACATTTAGGTCTATGATCCATGTTTTAAAGCTTACAGTTCATTTTGTCTTAATTTTGTAAATGGCATGAGGTATGGATCGAAGTTCATTTATTTCCATATTAGTGTCCACTCAGCAGTGGATGGACATTAGGGTTACTCCCTTCTTGAGTACTATGAATAATGCTGCTATGAACATTTTCTCCTGGGTATATACTTCGCAGAATTTCTAGGTCCGATGGTAACTCTATGTTTAACTCTTTAATAAGGAATTGCCAAGCCGCTTTCCAAAGCCACTGAGCCATTTCACTCCCCAAAGCAATGTAGGAGTATTGTTCTACTTCCTGATAATACTTGTTATTGTCTATCTCTTTGATCATGTCCATCCTAAGGCTATGAAGTTGAGCTCACTGTGGTTTTGATTTGCATTTCCCTGATGAATAGTGATGCTGAGTATCTTTTCATGTGCATCTTGGCCATGTGCATATCATCTTTGGAGAAATGTCACTTCTTTTTCTATCTTACATTGGGTTGTCTTTTAATTATTTAGTTCTTTATGTATCCTGGGTTGCTGGGGTCCAATTCCAGCGGGTCCAGGGGTCCCCAAAGGTGTGGACGGAGTCGGCGAAGAAGGAATGACACGAAGACAGCCTTCAGTTGATCAGCAGCCTAGTCAGGACCTCTAGCCAGGATCTCCAGCCAAAGTTCTGGTCGGAGTTCTGGTTAGGAACTGATGAGGATCTGATGTTTATTGTCTTGTTACATCCGTATTTATACCAGCCTATTTTAATCCTGTCAATTTCTATTACAAAGGTTAGGGCGTTTCTTATCTCCATTCCAGGGAGTAAAGATTATGTAGCTTAACTACCCGCCTGGCACTTAATTAAGGAGTTGTATCCCCTCCCTAACCTCAGGAAAAGATCCCCACCTGGGGAAACAACCTTTCTCGGAGAGGTGACCTTGGTTAAAACACATGGCGCTAAGGAGAGCAAACATATTAAGAACAATATGCTATATATGCCAGGTCCCTTGAAACATATGCTGTGCAGATGTTTCTTTCCTGCAGCAACTGTGTCAAGCAGCAAGGATGGACCGGCTTCCGGCACTGGGTTACTGTTCTTTATCAGATATGCGATTTGCAAATATTGTCTCCCATTCTGTGGGTTGTCTTTTCACTTTTTTAAAAAAATCTTTATTGTTGAAAGTATTAGATATGTCCCCTTTTTGCCCCCATCGACCCCTTCTAGCCCGCACCCACCTGCCGCCCAGGTTGTCTTTTCGCTTTTTTTTTAAAATTTCTTTATTGGTTAAGGTATTACAAATGTGTCCTCATCCCCCCATTAACCCCCAATCTCCTTCCCCCTTTCACTTTCTTGATGGTGCCCTTTGAAACACAAAAGTTTTTAATTTTGATGAAACCCAATTTGTCTGTATTTTTCTCTTGTGCTTGGTGTCATATTAAAGAAAGCACTGCCTAATCCAAAATCCCAAAGACTTAACTCCTATGTACGGTACTAAGAGTTGTATAGTTTTAGTGCTTACATACACATGCATTTTTAAAAATTAAATTTATTGGAGTGACATTAGTCAACATGAACATATAGGTTTCAGGCGTGGGTTTCTAGGTCTGCATATTGTTAAAGGGGACACTTGCCAAATGGTTCCCCAAAGGTCACCTCTGGGGAAGGGCATGAAATCGGGGTCTGGTTAGGGTTTGATGTCGATTTTCATTTTCTCAGCCATATACTTCTGTATCGTGTGGATTTTTTTTTTTTTTACAAGCATGGCTAACTGTGGTAATTTAAAATCAATAGACTTTAAAAATATCAACAGACTTTTTAAAGGATTCAAAATTATACACAGTTAGCTCGACTGGTGTGACTCAGTGGTTGAATGTTGACCTATGAACCAGGGCGTCACTGGTTCAATTCTGGTCAGGGCATATGCCCAGGTTTCAGGCTCATTCCCAGTGTGGGGCGTGCAGGAGGCAGTCGATCAATGATACTCTTATCATTGATGTTTCTACCTCTCCCTCTCCCTTCCTCTCTGAAATCAATAAAAATATATTTTAAAAATTCACAAAGTTAGTTATTAGAATTGTATATATATATATATATATACACTAGAGGCCTGATGCATGAAATTTGTGCAAGGGACTCGGCCTCACAGCCTCAACCCTTGCAGCCCCAGCTTGTCCAGAAGGTCGTCTGGAAGGACATCCAGGAAGGTCGTTTGGCTGTCTGGTCTAATTAGCATATTACGCTTTTATTATTATAGATACATTTTAAGGAGATAGGATTCCTTGAGAAAGCAGCATCTAAACTGAGACCAGAAGGTGGAGGAGTACGCTGGCTATAGATGGGAGCAAGAAAAGTGTTTAGTTGGGGAGATAATTGTTTGAGCCTATGGGAAAGAGGGGTTCATTTAAAATAATAATAATAATAATTCTTTGAACTCTCTGGATTGAAGAACGGGAGGGGGCAAATAAGAGGGAACAAGAGGCTGGAGAGAGACAGGGGGCAGATGTCCTTGTCGTCTAGGAAAAGGGCTGTAAGCAAGGGAGCTCCCTGATCAGGTTTACGTTTTGGAAAAGTCATCCTGGGACTGGGGAGAGGCCGAGCGGAAGGGGCAGGGAGTTCCAGGAGGAGGCTGCTGCAGGAACCCAGAGAAGAAAGGATGGTGGACGAAGTCCGGCACTACTGGGTGAGGAGAGAAGGGACTGGGTTGGAGCTCCTTGGACCTGGCGACTGGCCCAGGCGCTGAGGAAAACTCCCGACTTCCCGCGTGACAGCCGAGTGCCCTGGCGGCCCATTACCCAGCTGGGGGGGGGGGGGGGGAGCAGGGCGCTTGGGAGGACGCTGATGACAGCGTTTGGACTGGGTGTGCTCCCTGTGGACCCAGAGATGCTCCATAGGGCGCTGCGCGTGGGTAGGGGCTGGCGCTCCCAGGGACCTCGGCGCAGACGGGGAAGGAGGAGCCAGTCCCGCCCTGAGCCATTGCCGGGCTCCGCTGGCTGAGCTGCAGGACAGAGCGGGACCGAATTCCGATCACACGAGCGGACACCCCCAGACGGCCCCTGACGCACGTGCTCACCACGGGGGTGGGGACGCCCATCGCTTCCCTCCGGCCCCGAAACACGGGTCCGGGATCCCGGAGGGGAGCCCCCGGAACCTTCCGCCGCCGCCGCCCGCGTTCGCCGCGGAACCCTTCGCGGACACCGGTCCGCTGTTGCTAAGGGGCGGCCCCGGAAGTGACGCGCCAGGGGTTTGTTGACAGCGGAGGCGGGCGGCGGCTGCAGGCTCCCAGCCGGAGGAGCCGGATCGGGGGAGGGGCCGGGCCCCGGAGCCAGCACCCGGCGGCCTGCAGCCCTAAGGGCAAGGTAACGGCCACGGGGTCCCCCGGGCGCGACCCCCTCCCGCCGGGGACTCCCGCCCCCGGGAACCCAAGTTCCGCCTCGTCGACCCCCGTCTCCCTCAGACCCCGTCCCTTAGCCTGACGACATCCCCCGCCGGCCCGGGCCGCATCCTCCGCTCCTCGGCGGCCGCCAGGTGAGGAAGCATCCCCTTCGATCCCAGAGCCAAGGGATGTTTCTGCGTCCCACCCCTTCCCCTCCTGCCTCGGCGCCTCGGCGTCGCTTCAGCATCGCAGCTGCAACCACTTGCACAGGTCCATCTCGGCCAATGGTGGGAGGGAGTCCTCCTCCTCTGCCCCTGCTGCCAGGTCTGCGAAACGTGCCTTTAAAACTGAGCTGCTTTCCTCCAGAGAGAAAATGACTCCCTGTTGAATGCCCCTACAAAATGGGGGATCCTGTCGGACTGCCCCTCCTACCTGTTGGATGAGCTTAAGTTCCCCCAAAGCCCTGCTTCAGAGCTCGGGGACGGTTTGGATTCTGGCTCAGCTCCTAAAAGGGATGACAAGGTGCAGGGAAACCCAACAGGCTGAGATTTTCCAACTGGGTGGGAAAGCGACGGGGTGGGGTTGCAAACCTGAGGAGCCAGGAGCCGGGTAGGTGAGTTGAAACTGAAACTGCTGGCCACTGGAGCTCTGTGGGTGGAATGTGACTTGGCTGCTCTTTGGCCCACGGTGTCCAGGATCCCCAGGCTTTGCCTGTGCCTGCCGGCACGTTTGGTTTTCCAGGGGAGAGGGATGCCTGGTGCTTCCTTGGGGAAAATCACCCCATCTGATTTCTCTCTTCAGGGCACACGCTAGTTAGAATGAGCACGGAAGACAGGCTTCCTTTAGAATAGGAGGTGGTAGCTAGGAGAGAGGGGCCTCTCTGTTTGGGTTCATTGCTTTATTCAGCAAAGAATGAACATACTATGTAGGATGGCCCTGGAGAAAAACAAAGAAGAAAAAGCCATGGAAAGAGCCAGAGCACAGGCACCTTTTTATAGAGGGTGATCAGAGAACGTGTCTAGTCGATACCTGATCAGAGACCTGAAGGGAGCCCTACAGCTCTCTGGAGGTAGAGCATTCAATAGCAAGTGCAAAGGTCCTACCTGATGCTTTTAAGAAACAGCATGAGGACAATAGGGCTGGAGTAGAATGAAGGAGGGGAGGGGTGGCTGATGAGGTCAGAGAAGAGTGGGGACCAGATAGTGTCGGGGAGGATATCAGGGACCGCCTGTGTGATGCAAGGTCATGGGGTGTCTAATGGGGCACCATTTCAGAACTGTGCTAACTTGAGATGTCTGGTGCTTGGAGAAAATACAGGTTTGTTTTAGATGACAGATGGCCATTGTGCTCTGGCCTTGAGTTGTAAGTACCTTTTTTCCATCTCTCTAATGATCACTGATGGAATAAATACAAAAAGGGCAGCCATAGAGCCCTGTGGTTAAATCAGGTCATGCCATTGCTTCCTGGTTGTGAGAACTTGGGCAAGGGATCTTTTTCACCGAAGTTTCCTCATCTGTACAGGGAAGATGGTAGCTTGGTCCAGATATATATATATATAATTGATTTCAGAGAGGGAGAGAGAGATAGAAACATCAGTGATAAGAGAGAATCATTGATCGACTGCCTCCTGCACACCCCACACGGGATCGAGCCCACAACCCGGGCATGTGCCCTTGACTGGAATCAAACTTGGGACTCTTCAGTCCGCAGGCTGATGCGCCATCCACTGAGCCAAGCCAGCCAGGGCTTGGTCCTGGCTTTTTGATGACAGTGGGAGGTGATGGGGGCTTTTTAAAAAGAGCTTAGCAAGACCCCATTCCCTACATAAAACAGGCAAAATACGGTGTTGAAATAAATATGAAGACAGGTTGGTGAGGGCAGTATACGTTGGCCTTAGATGTATGGTCAGAGTGTGTGTGGCTGATCTGATGATGGAGATTGTCCATCCCAGAAATGCCCAGCAGAGGCTGAGATTCTGCAGGCTGATCTCCTTCCCACCCCTCAAGTCTAGACCTGAGTCTGATAGGCGGAGTGGGGCGTTTGGGGGAGAGGACTTGAAAATGAAAAGTCAGAGCACGTAGATGCTGAAAGCCAGCATGTTGGAGCTGGGTCGTTGGACTAGCGATCTAGGTCAGGGTTCAAGCGCCTGCTGTGCTTCGGGCCTGCTGTGTGAGCTCGGGCAGTTACATCCTGTCTGGACCTCAGTTTTCCTGTCTGGACTCTAATTCTGAAGGCTACCGGGAGGTGAAATGAAACGAGGTTCTGAAAGAATGTGTTGCACTTTAAAGCCCTCTACAAAGGTAAAGGGCTATTCTTGTTAGCATCACCAAGATTCTGCAGCTTCGGTAACTGAGCTGTTCTCGATTCCTGAAATGCAAGTTCAGAGTCTCCCCCTCGGTCATCTATTTTTGGATCATGAAGCTTCAGAAATGCGCAGATTTTCCAGCTTCAAAAATGAGCAGAAGGGTCTCTCCAAACATCATTCTTTGGAAATTGCTCCATAATGATTGGTTACTACCTACTTTAAAAAACCTTTTTAAAAAATATGTTTTTATTGCTTTTAGATAGAGAGGAAGGGAGAGGGAGAGAGAGAGAAACATCAATTGGGTGCCTCCTGTACCCCCCCCCCCCCCACTGGGGATCACGTTCGCAACCTGGGCATGTGCCTTGACTGGGAATCGAACCAGTGACCTCTTGGTTCATGGGTTGATGCTCAACCACTGAGCCACACCAGCCCGGCATTTGCCACCTTCTTCCCATCATTTCATGCCATGTCCTCACCAACCGCATGAGGTAGGTACATTTGCAACACACCAAGCAGGTAAGGACCCTGATGAATATTGAGGGTGTAAATATTGCCTGGGCACCATGTGGAACTATGTCTCCTCCCCCTCACTGTTGTCATGGAGATCTCAAGGATCACACAGGGTCCCTGCCTCAGGAAGCTTCCAGTCCTTGGCAAACAAACAATAGATGTCCACAGGATGGTTCCCAGCGATGTCCGACCATCTGTACTCAATGCCCAAGGACGCTCAGAGTTGTAAGGAGGCAGTGAAGGCTCACGCCACAGAAGGGAGAGCTGAGGGTGGGAGAACCCGTTCGTGCCCATAGCATAATGGTAGAGAGAGCCAGGCACCTACTGGGGGACCTTAGGCAAGTCATTGTACTTCTTTGAACCACAGTTTTTTCATTTGGAAAACAAAATTATAATATAGTCATCCCTCCAGTTATGTGTGGCTGCAATGAGAAGATGCATGGGAAGCTCAGAGCGAATGAGTGTGTGTATACATATTGGTCTGTACATCTCCATAGGCCGTGGCAAATGACTTCACCACTGAGCCGCAGCTGCCTCGTGTGGTGGTGAACCCGCAGAGTTCTTGGAATATGGTGGTCAGTATGGGTGTGAGAGTGTCTCGTTAGAGGCCCCTCTGGCCCGGGTAGCACCAGCGAGCAGTGATGACTTTCCTCCTCCACTCCATTTCCCTATCTCCCTAACACGACCCCCCCTACAGACTTCGACTCTGCAGGTCAGCCCTCTGACCCTCACCTGCACCCCTGCTCCCCAGAGCCCTGACTCCCCTCACAGCAGCCTGCTACCCCCCAATGTTCCCTGTGATCCCTTCCCTCCTGGAAAGCTTCCAGCCTCTAAATAGGGCATTTGTTTGGGGTCCCCCCCTCTACCACCCCCCCCCCCGCTCCTGGGTGAATATTTCACAGGTGGGCGCTGCTCCCAGGCTCAGAGCTTCCTGCCCCCCAGATCCTGTCGGCTGGGTGTCAGCGCTGGTGGGGTCCCACGCTCCCTCCTCTGGACCTCACTTTCTCTCCCCTCCGGTTGGTGGATGGGAGACTGTATGGTTTGGTGAGAAGCACCGGCCTGGTTTAGGGTTGCGTCCCATTCTTGCCAGTCACTTCAGGCAAGCCTCGGTGTCTTCATCAGAAAATGGTAACTGGCAAAGCAAACCTTTATTCTGTTGGTGCCAGGCACGGGCCGGACCCTGTGGATCCAGGAGCGTGGGGCCAGGGGAGGGGTCGTTAGACAACTGGTTACACAGATGATGAATTAGCCACAGTCCAGTGTCCGAGGGAATGCTGTTTCGTTGGTTAACTCGGAGGCCGTGTGGAATCAGCGCAGCGCCACGTCTGAAAGTCACCGATGTGGGGGTGGCGGCTGCTGCTGTTCTCTCTTCTCTCCCTGCTGTGCCCCCTCCCTCCCCCAGAGGATGTCACAGCTCATGAAGGATCCAGTTTTAGAGAACCTGCAGGAGCGGGGATGGCAGAGTTCTCACCAGGTGCTGCTCTGTCGCCATCAGAGTTCCCTCTGCCCCAGGGAACCCCCGATGGCGGTGCTGAGGAGTGAGGAGCTGGGGCAGCGGAGGTGGCTGCCTCTGTGGGTGCCAGGCCTGCAGCTGGATGCCCACAGGTGGCCGGGCACTCTGGCCCCCAGGCTCTCAGCCTCGGTGCCAACTTGAGGACGGTTCCTTCCCCCTCCGGCTCAGCCAGCCCCAAGCAGCAAGGTCGGCGCTGCCAAAGGCAGTTAGCAAATGGTGCCCTTTGCCTGGTTTGTCTCTTGGTGGCTTTGGCGGCTGACAGGGTGGTGCCTCTTCCTCCTGAGGAGCAGAGTTAGGGCAGAGCAGCTCCCTGGGTGACTGGGACCTGCAGAAAAGGCAGCTCTCGGTACAGTCACGAGGTTCCTCGGTGGCCACTGGGTGCCTAGCACTGTCCTGGGCAGGTGGGCAGGGAGGGTACGAGAGCCGGCCTTGCCTCGCGGCTCCCATGTGTGGCACAGCCTGCGAGCCCTCGTCCCTCCCGCAGGCATCTGTTTGTCGGGTCCCGTGGTGTTCAGCCCTTCTTGTCCAGCACATCGTCGTGGAGTTGGGCTGTGGTGCCCGCGCCCCACACCGTCTGTCCCTGCAGCCTGTGCACAGCTTGGCCTTCTTTCTGGAACGCCTTTCCCTTCTCTGCCCGCCACCAGAGTTAACTGTGACTCATTGGGTTGCAGCTGCAATGCCACCTCCAAGGCAGGTCCCTGGCATCGACACAGGGAGCCCCGGTACCTCCCTCCCCTTCAGAACACTGGTCCCAGTTATGGGGGGCGGGTCTGGGTGCCTCCTGGGTGGCTGGCTGTCCCCCTTCGGAGCCACTGTGCTTCATCAGGAGAAAGCCCTTGTCTGGTTTCGTTCGCCATCGGATGCACGGTGCTCACTAGAGAGTTACCGAGTGAACAAGCAAAGGACCTGGGCTAAGCCCGGGAATGAGTGCCAGGCAAGACGGCCTGGTTCCCGCCTCGTGGAGCTGGCCGCCTGGCAAGGAAGCCAGGTAGTTAGCCCAGCATCAGTGCAAAGCGTGGACTATTATGGGATGGCCTTTGGGGCCACAGCAGCTACACTTGGCAGCCAGGGGAGGCTTCCTAGAGGAGATGGTGTCGACACTAAGACCTGAGGGTGCTTAGGCATCAGCTAAGCAAGGAGGAGAGGTCAAAGGTGGTGGACCGGAGTGGTCTGTGCCACTTCCTGCAGGAGGGACGTGGATGTGTATTTGGGGGTGGGAGCAGTATTTGTTAGAAAGTGGAGTAGTTAGTTGCATTTGGATGGTCCCCGTTGAAAGCAAACCGACTGAGCAAAGGTCTGAAGGTGACCGTTATGGCCTATCGCCAGTGCAGTGGAGGAGGCCAGGCCAGTTAAGTGGGGGTCTGTGGGCACGGGGTTGACCAGAAAGCTGGTTCTAACTCTGGAGGCCTTGACGCTCAAAGAGATGGGACTCATCGGTCTCCAGCTGGGACTGTCTCCCAGCCAGCAGTGTGCCCTCCAGTGGCCCAGGCAAAAGAGGCTGCTGGGCTCTTGCAGATCTGAAGGCAAAGGAAGGCCATGCCCAGGGCCCAGGCAGCCTGTTTGCTGTGCCTTCCCTCAAGGGTGTCCCATAGCCAGTGGGACAGCTGGCACAGGGCCTATGGCAGGAGACTCAGGCGTAGGCAGCGCAGACCTGGAGCTGGACAGGAATGGACTGCTCTACTTGGGGACCAGGGCTGGTGAGATAGGAGAAGGTGGTGATGATTATGATGCTGATAATAATACTGGCTTTTTATTGAGTAATTACTATGTGCCGGGAACTATGCTCAGCCATTTCTGTGTCATTCCGTGTTATCTTCACAAAGCGCTCCCTACTTGGAATAGAAACTGAGGCACAGAGAGGTGAAGACACTTGCCCAAGTTCCCCTGTTCTTAAGCAGCAGGGCTGAGACTGGAAACTGGGCTCTTACAGCAAGCCCACCAGTATAATGTTTTCAAGGCCCAGTGTTGTATGTATCTGTACTTCATTCCTTTTACGGCTGAATTATAGTCCATTGTATGGATAGACCATTTTTGTTTGTCCACTCATTAGTGGACAGACATTGTGTTGTTTCCATTTGGGGCTATTACGAATAATACCACTATGAATTTTAACGTACAGCTTTTGATGTGGACGCATATTTTCATTTCAATTAGGAGGAGCCTGATTCTTCATCATATAGATTGAGATTCAGTGATAACATGTCTATAAAGCCCTGGCACATCCTAAGTGTTCAAACAGTGACAGCTAGATACAAGTTAGATTACACAGCAGGGGCCCTGGCCAGGTAGCTCAATTGGTTGGAGCATCATCCCCATGTGCCAACGTTGCTGGTTCAATCCCTGGTCAGGGCACTTAGAAGAATCAACCAATGAATGCATAAATGGGTGGAGCTAAGAATTGATGTTTTTTTCTCTCTCTCCCCCTCCCTCCCTCCCTCCCTTCCACTCTCTGAAAAGCAATAGAAAAAATATCCTCTGGTGAGGATTAACCAAAAAGAAAGCCCCTGTGATCCACACCCAAGCACTGGGTTCCCAACACACAGGTCTGTCCACAGACATTTGTGAAGGCATAGAAACACTTGGAGCCTTGACCGGTTTGGCTCAGTGGATAGAGCGTCGGCCCGGGGACTGAAAGGTCCCAGGTTCGATTCCGGTCGAGGGCCTGTACCTTGGTTGCGGGCACATCTCCAGTGGGGGGTGTGCAGGAGGCAGCTGATCGATGTGTCTCTCTTATCGATGTTTCTAGCTCTCTATCCCTCTCCCTTCCTCTCTGTAAAAAAAAAAAAAAAAAAAAAAAAAAAAATCAATAAAATATATTAAAAAAGAAAAAAAGAAACACTTGGACAAGGCCCCCTGCTCTTTGCAGGCCAAATCATACAAATCAGCAGAGGGGCCAAGAGGAGGTCGGGAATCCTGGGGCCTGGTCCGCTAAGCTGCCCATGTGAGTGTGGCATCTGGAGCCTCAGCTTCCCTACTCAGGAGTGGACCTAGGACAGCTGGTGGTTCTGGCCCTCGGGCTCACGTAGCTTCTTTCCCATTCTCTAGGCTGTGGCTCTGCCAATGACCCTGTGAGTGCTGAGGAGTGACTGTTGTCCCTGGAGGCCCCTGTCCTGGAGTGGCCCACCTTCCTGCCCCCAGCATGGCGTCCGACACTCCCGAGTCCCTGACGGCCCTCTGCACCGACTTCTGCCTGCGCAACCTGGACGGCACCTTGGGCTACCTACTGGATAAGGGGTCTCCGAGGCTGCATCCAGACATCTTCCTGCCCAGCGAGATCTGTGACCGGCTCGTCAACGAGTGAGCAGGCCTGGAGCTGGGGCAGGGGCACAAGTCTTTAGATGAGCCTGTGTGGAGAGATTAGGACCAGTGTGTGTGCACCATGTGGTAGTGTGACCACGGATGTGTGAGTGTGAGGGTGTGTGTGCATGCACAAGGGTGTCCATGGGTATAGAATACTGGTGTACCTCTGACTGTAAAGTTATGTGTGTGTGTGTGGGGGGGGGTGTATGAAGGAGTGTGCACGTGAAGGAATGGGTCGGTGTACACATGGGCTTCTGCAGCACAGGGAATGTCTGAGTGTGAAACTGTAGGTGTGCATTACACCTATGAGGGGGTACAGAAGCCGGCACATAAATGAAGTTGTTTGCTGTCCTGTGTGTGTGCACACCGGAGCCTGTGAACACGTGACTGTGTGTGAACATTCAGGTTTACACACCAGTGCCCAAATGGATCCATGACCAGGGATCGAATTGTTTAGAAAACCTTGACGTGGCCCCTCCAGAGGACTCCCCGCTAGTGGCCTCTGGGATGTCGAGATGCCCAGAAGGGAACCTGCCAGACCAGACAGTTGCATATAAAGTGGGAACCTGTGTGTGAGCTGAGGACGGAACCCAACTTGTAGTAATGTTCTGAGCACTTAATGTGGGTCAGCAGCTCTGGGTGGATCACGGTGCAGACCAGAGTTATGGCCATTTCACAGAGGAAGAAACCAGAGCCCGGAGAAGTTCAGTTACTTGAGTGACGTTGTCCAGGTCGTGACTAGCCAAGCAGGATTTAGATTCCAGAGTGTTTGACTACAAAGCCTTTCCCACCAAGACCAGGATTCTCGCATAAGCTGGTATCTCGCAGGGTTTATGAGGGCTTGCCTGTACCCACCTGGGAACTCCATACCCCTAGACTTAATTCCTGTGGGCAAGGGTCCTGGGAGGGGCCGGTCAGGGAGCCAGAAGCTGGCTTAGAGGAGAGGTGTGTGGACAGTATGTTTGCTCTAGTGTCTATGGTTTTGGGGGAAGAGCTTGGAATTTTCTATTGATAAGAGGCCCCTTCATCACCAGGAAGTCTACTTTGGACTCCTGGTTCCTGGAAGGTGGGGGGGGGGGCACAGATCAGGGTATCTCACCTGTAGGGTAGTCAGGACCCAACCAGATACTATAAAGAAGAGGAGGAGGAGAAGGAGGAGACAGAGGTTGCTGCTGGGGTGATCAGAGAAGGCCTCAGGGAGGAGAGGGCTTACGCTGGGCCTTGCAGGGGACGATGCCCCTCCCCTGAGCCAGGCTTCTCCCTCCCAGGTACGTGGAACTGGTCAACGCTGCCTGCAACTTTGAGCCACACGAGAGCTTCTTCAGCCTCTTCTCAGATCCTCGTAGCACCCGCCTCACCCGCATCCACCTCCGCGAGGACCTGGTGCAAGACCAGGACCTGGAAGCCATTCGCAAGCAGGTAAGACCTGCCTTGCCGGGCACGAGATGGGCATGGGAGGCGGCCCGAGACAGTCAAACAGTGAGTCGGGCAGGGCCGATGGCCTCCAGGACAAGCATCCCAAGGCCCGTCCAGCGCTCTTCCCCACTGGACAGACCCCCCCACGGCCCCCCTTAGCCCAGGGCCAGCCTAGGGCAGGGGCTGGGCAGGGTGATGGACGGAGCTGTCCCTCCTCCCAGGACCTGGTGGAGCTGAACCTGACCAACTGCGAGAAGCTGTCGGCCAAGAGCCTGCAGACACTGCGGAGCTTTAGCCACACCCTGGTGTCCTTGAGCCTCTTCGGCTGCGCCAACATTTTCTATGAGGAGGAGAACCCCGGGGGCTGTGAGGACGAGTGCCTCGTCAACCCCACCTGCCAGGTGCTGGTTAAGGACTTCACCTTCGAGGGCTTTAGCCGCCTTCGCTTCCTCAACTTGGGCCGCATGATTGATGGGGTCCCCGTGGAGTCCCTGCTGCGGCCGCTCAGTGCGCTGGCTGCCTTGGACCTCTCAGGCATTCAGACCAGCGACGCGGCCTTCCTGACCCAGTGAAAGATAGCCTGGTGTCCCTTGTGCTCTACAACATGGACCTGTCGGACGACCACATTCGTGTCATCGTCCAGCTGCATAAGCTGCGGTGAGCAGCCCGCCCACAGCTCACTGGGGTGGGGGTGCGGGTGGGGGAGGTTCATGTTGTCAGTCCCAGAAGGGTCATGAGCCCTGGCCAGGCAGAAGGTGGGCATGGAAGAGACGTCCCCTACCTTTAACCCCAGGTGGCAGCTGGATCAGGGTTGTTTGGGGCCCGCGGGTCCCAGTAGGATTTTTCCCAGAATGCCCTGCAGCAGTGTGGTAGGGAGGGGCCCTGCCCTGCCGTGGACTGAAGCAGCAGGGTCTACGAGACAGTCCCAACCTGTGTCCAGCTCCTGATCTGTGCCCCTCCCCCCAATCTCCAGACACTTGGACATCTCCCGAGACCGCCTCTCCAGCTACTACAAGTTCAAGCTGACTCGCAAGGTGCTGAGCCTCTTCGTGCAGAAGCTGGGGAACCTCATGTCCCTGGACATCTCTGGGCACATGATCCTGGAGAACTGCAGCATCTCCAAGATGGACGAGGAGGCAGGGCAGACCAGGTGGGCCCACCGCCACGGTGGCCACGGTACCACTCAACAAGCATTTCCCAAACGCCCTCTGCCAGTGCTGTTCTGGGTGCTGGAGATAAAGGAGCGAATGAGGCCCTGCCCTCTCCAGTCTGTGTGACAAGCCATTATCAGGACTGGTAAGGGAGGCCCGGGCTACCCTGAGGACCAGGAGAGAGGGACGAGGAGGAATGGCATCCAAGCTGTTTTGAAAGTTCATTCTGAGTTCAGGCAGGGTGTCCTAGCAGAGGGAAGGGCACGTGCGAAGGCTAGAAGGTGCAAGCGCCAGGAGTGACTGGGAAATTGTCCACTCAGACTGGCCAGAGACAGGGCGGCGGTGTTCAGGCGAGGCTGGCGGTACGGCCATGTGGTAGGTGCTGCAGCAGAGAGGCTGGTTCCTGGGTTGGTGGGTCGAGAGATCGGATTCAAACCCACCCAGCGGTAATTGGCCACAGGCCCTCTCTGTCCCCAACCACACTTTAGCGGGTTTGCTTGTTGGGCCGGTCCCTTCATGATTGTTGGTGGAACCTAAAGGTGACACGTCCTCACTAGAATGGCAGGTGGTGTTTTCCAAAGGTGACTACAGCCACACCTCCCACCCCACATGCTCTTCTTCCATCAGGAGGCAGGGTCTATGTCCCCTGCCCTTAAAAAGAAAAAAGCTGGGCTGGAGCGTCTAGGAGAGGGTCCCTAATAAATCCCCAGGCCCCCCAGGCCCCCCAGGGAGCAGCCCACCTCCCTGCTGAACCTGGGGCAGCCCCAGCCTCGGGCCACTGACCCCAGCACCTCTTCCCCAGCACCGAGCCCTCCAAGAGCAGCATCATGCCTTTCCGGGCTCTGAAGAGGCCGCTGCAGTTCCTGGGGCTCTTCGAGACCTCCCTGTGCCGCCTCACGCACATTCCGGCCTACAAGGTGCGGAGTGGGGGAGGGAGGAGCAGGGGGCCCTGGAAGAAGGGAGGGGTGGGCTGGGGGCCCACCGTGTCTGCCCTGGGCTGGAGGCGGAGCCGAGATCGGAGGCTCCCCACGTGACCTTTTCCCAGCGGCCTGAGCGTGCTTCCTCCCCAGGTGAGTGGCGACAAGAACGAGGAGCAGGTGCTGAACGCCATCGAGGCCTACACGGAGCACAGGCCCGAGATCACCTCCCGGGCCATCAACTTGCTTTTTGACATCGCGCGCATCGAGCGTTGCAACCAGCTCCTGCGGGCTCTGAAGGTCAGCCCCGCCCCAGAAGCAGTGGGGCCTCGGGCTCCCACCGTCCCCACCTGGAGGACCCTGGCCTCGGCCGAGCCGTGTGCCAGGGCCCCTGTCCCTCCTCTACGTCACCTCATCCCCAGGACACCGGCAGTCCTACCCCCAGCCCACCCCGCAGTGCCTCACCTGCCCCAGCACTGGCCTTGTCCCAGGGCCATGGCCCGGCCCTGCCTTCTGCTCCCCAACCTTGGACCTGTGCGAGCCCCCTCGAAGAGCCCTAGGCCTGTCCCTGCACAACGTCCACCGGACTTGCCAACCTGGGCCCCATACCCTGTCTTCCATGTAGCTGGTCATCACAGCCCTCAAGTGCCACAAGTACGACAAGAATATCCAAGTGACAGGCAGCGCCGCCCTCTTCTACCTGACCAACTCCGAGTACCGCTCCGAGCAGAGCGTCAAGCTGCGCCGCCAGGTCATCCAGGTGGTGCTCAATGGCATGGAATCCTACCAGGAGGTGACGGTGAGCCCCCTGCCGCGGTCCTGCATGCTCTACCCCGCCCCCTTCCCTGCTCCCCCTGTGGCCCAGCCTCCCACCCTGCTCGTAGATCCCTCCAATGCCATGCTTGCTCCCACCCTTTCTCGCCTGGCTCTGCACTGCCCTTGTCCCCACACCCCTTCCCTACAGCTTCACCCCAGACTCTGGGACCTGGCATCCAAGGCCCACTAACCCGCCCCACGCCACTGCCACTGCCACCCTCCCCCCAGGGCCCTGCTCTCCTGCCCCTGGGCCTCTGCTCATACTGACTCCTCCACCCTCTGCCCAGTAACATTCTGCTGGGGCTATTTTTTCAGTAACTGCTTTTCTTAGAAAAGTAATAAAGATTTTTATTGTAGAAAAGTTGTAATTATAGATAGAAAAACCCACCGCCCAGAGCTAGCCCCGTTCGCACTGCCGCCGCCGCTCTGGGTTTCAGTCTGTGGGTCTTTGTCTAGTAAAGGTGCTCGCTCTGCGTGATGCTGTGTAACGTGGTTTCTGTGTCAGCAGTCTCGTGGGTGTGGACCTCTCCCATACCAACAAAATTTTTAAAATAATGTTTGTTTTCTGATTATAAAAGCAAGACACTGAATGCTTAGACAACAAATTCAAGTAAAAAGAAAGTGTAGTAACTAGAAAGTCAAAGTTGTTCACAACCCCAGCTCTCCTCCCCAGACAGCTGGATCTAACGGTGCGTTTTCACAATCGTTGTCGGCCTAGTGTCAGCGTCCTCAGCCAAGGAGAGGCTGCCATGGTGCTGCCTGACCACTCAGAGGCAGTGGCCAGCCCGTCCCCCGAGGGACCAGAGGGGGCGCCCCTGAGGGCCTGGGCTGCGGTGGTGGACTCAGCCCCGAGGCGGAACAGTGAGGTTGCTGTGTTATTGCTACTTCAGTGAGGCTGTGCTGACTGCTTAGCTGACTCCCCGTGTGCTGCGTGTCCACAAGTGGAATTGTGGGGCCGTGGGGATGTGCGTTTTGAAAGCATTGGGTTCTCGAATTGCCCTCCAGAAAGGCTGTGGTGGGATGCGGCCCCTGCAGGGGTGGGAAGGCCCTTTCCCACAGCCTCCAACTCCAGGGCAACTGTTGTTTCCACATGGAGACCAATTTTATAATCAAGTAAAAGGGGCATCTTTTTTTAATGAAAAATATTGCCACTTGAAGACTCTCCAATGAATGAATAAACTCTATCAAAGAAATGGAAATTAAAATAACAAGGTACCACATTTCATCTCGATGTGGATGAAACCCAACATTGACAACGGTGAGGGGACGAGCACTCTCGCACTTCCCACGGTGAGCTATGAGTGGAGCAGCTCTTTAGAAGGCAGCTGTCAGCACCTGCCCAGACTAAACGTGCACTTCTCTGTCGGCCTAGGTGTCCCACAGTTGGAAGTCTTAGAGGGAAGGATATGCATACATCCACCCTTTTTTTTTTTGAGAGAGAGAAACATCAATTTGTTTTTCCACCTATGTATGCATTCTTTGGTTGCTTCTTGTATGTGCCCTGGCCAGGGATCAAACCCACAACTTTGGTGTATCAGGATGATGCTCTGACCAACTGAGTTACCAGCCAGAGCCTATATCCACACTTTTTGATTAAGTAGAGGTCAGTGGAAACTAAAATGTTTTAGTATTAGGGGTCTGGAAAAGTTAACGCATGACCCCCCCCCCCAGTGGGATATTATGATAAATCTGCACATCCTAACATGGAAGGTGCCCCCTGCATATTGATAAGTGAGGAGAAGTTTGGGACCAATATGTATAATGTCTTTTTTTTTTTAATCATTTTTTTTCCTTTTCTTTTTTTAATATATTTTATTGATTTTTTACAGAGAGGAAGGGAGAGAGATAGAGAGTTAGAAACATCGATGAGAGAGAAACATCAATCAGCTGCCTCCTGCACACCCGCTACTGGGGATGTGCCTGCAACCAAGGTACATGCCCTTGACCAGAATCGAACCTGGGACCCTTCAGTCCGCAGGCTGATGCTCTATCCATTGAGCCAAACCAGTTAGGGCTATAATGTCTTTTCTTGCCTTTCCTCTCCCCCAAATATATATTTGTATTTATATAGTAGAAAAATATCTAGAATGTACACCAAACTTTTTTTCTTAATATATTTTTATTGATTTCAGAGAGGAAGGGAGAGAGAGAGATAGAAACATCAGTGATGAGAGAGAATCATTGATCAGCTGCCCCCTGCACACCCCACACTGGGATCAAGCCTGCAACCTGGGCATGTGTCCTGACTGAGAATCAAACTGTGACCTCCTGGTTCATAGGTTGATGCTCAACCACTGAGCCACCGGCTGGGCTAAACACCTTCAATTTTAAGAACTGTGTGCTCCCTCTTGGTCCAGAGACCCTGCGTATAGCCAGCAAGAATGGCCTTGGACCACAGCCTGCCAGACACAGGTGTCGCTTTACAACTCCTGTTCCCCACAGGCCCCCAGGCTCCCACATGGCAGAAAGAGAAAGGCCTGTGCACCCCACTTTTAACAGTAATAACTCTGGGAAATGAAGTGGGGGACTAACTGCTCAGATAGTATTATTTGAACTTTTTTCAGTAAGTATTGCTTTTATAACTTAAAGTAAATTTTTTCTCAAATTAAAATATATATGTATATTGTGCGGGGGAGACCAAGAGTTAACCACGGGTGATATCTTTTCATTTACATAATTAATAAAGTATGGTGAACTTCCAGTATCTAATGAGAAAAAATTAAGGAAATTAAATCACAAAGAAAATGCGCTGAGAACACTATAAATAAAGCCTGCAGACAACGCAGAGAAATTGAGGATGTGGAGCCTCCAGAGCTCTCCTAACTGCTGGTGGGAGTGTAAACTGGTACAGCCACTTGGAAAACAGTCTGGTGTCACCCGGTAAAGTTGAAGACACCCACACCATGTGACCCAGAAGCGTCACCCCACACGTGTGTGCCCTAGTGGGGCCCATGTGCATGGACACCCGGATGCATGTACAAGATATGTTTGAAGTAGTCAAAACATTGAAGTCCACCAGCAATGGAATGGATGAGTACATTGAATACTATACTGCAACGAAAAAGGAATGCATTTCAGCTACTTAAAACAACATGCTTGATCTTGCAAACCTGTGGTTGAACTAAAAGAAGCAAGATGCTAGAAAATCTATACTAATAAAAGTGTAATATGCTAATTAGACCGGACAGCTGAACGACCTTCCGGATGAAGCCGTGGCTGGAGAGCTGAGCCCCTTGCACGAATTTTGTGCATCAGGCCTCTAGTCTTTCAAATAAAAAAGCAGGGGTTGTGGGCATCTGTAGTGGGGAGAGGAGTTTGTGATCAGAAAGGGACATGGGGGCTGGCTTCTGGGTGCTGGCAGGGTTCTATTTCTTGACCCAGGTGGTGGCTACATTGTTGTTGAAATGCTTGTCTGCTTTATAATCATTTGTAAAACTACATTTGTTATTTTATACACGCTTCTCTATGAATATTATATTTCACAATTTTTAAAAATGTGTTTTAAGGAAGCCTTGTAGTCTCCTCCTCCAGAAAGCCTTCCTGGACCACCACAGCTCTGGATGATCCCTCACCTCGAGAGAGCCCCCCAGTTCAGCTCGAGAGTCTGCCCCTGACTGTGCGCCCCTTGTCTCTGCCCGGCCCAGGTCCAGCGGAACTGCTGCCTGACCCTCTGCAACTTCAGCATCCCCGAGGAGCTGGAATTCCAGTACCGCCGGGTCAACGAGCTCCTGCTCAGCATCCTCAACCCCACTCGGCAGGACGAGTCGATCCAGCGCATCGCTGTGCACCTGTGCAACGCCCTGGTCTGCCAGGTGGACAATGACCACAAGGAGGCCGTGGGCAAGATGGGCTTCGTGGTGGTGCGTGCAGGCGGGCGTCCCCACCCCCCCCCCTCATCCGTAGCCCCACTGCCGCATGAATCAGTCCCAAAGGAAGAGTTTCCTGTCAGTGCATGTTGCTTACGACCCCCATAGATGTCCTCCACCTAGAACATCCTGTCATCCCCCCCTTAGCCCCTCTCTTCACCCATTGGTCACACTGTGCAAGTCACTCCTGCCTCCTCAGACCAGGTGCCTTCATGTGTCTTCCCAACTGCAAGTGAGCTCGGTGGGGAAACCGCCGTGCTCGCTCCTCCCACCATTACGTCCCAGCACTTTCTAGCGTAAGGCCCAGTGCACAGTAGGGAGAGAACAGCTACTTGCTGAAGAAAGGAAGGGAAGAAGGGGGAAGGAACATCCAGTCTCATATTCTCACCGGGGAGGCTGAATTCCCCAGAGGGGGAGGGCCGTGCCCAAAGCCACTCAGGGAGTCAGGGTTGAGCCAGGACGAGCACCCAGGCCTCCTGATGCCAAGTACCAAGTCTGTGGGTTGCACTTCTTCCCACAGCCTCCCAGCAGGTGGGCAGGTTTGGTCTTGTCAGGTGTATTGGCCAGGAATAGAATTGCTGTCGCCCCTGGGGGTGGCCGGGGGACACGGGAGCGCTTAAGGCCTGGCCCCTGCAAGTTCTCTTCTCTGCCCACAGACCATGCTGAAGCTCATTCAGAAGAAGCTGCTAGACAAGATAGTAAGTGGAGTCTTCCTGGAGCCCCTCATGGGACTGGTTTGCCCCGGGGGTGCCCATGTTTTGTCAGGGGAGCCCTCCCTGGGTGCCAGGAGCCGCCTGTCCCGGCGAGCTGTGCTAAGCCCCCCTCTTCCGCCGCAGTGTGACCAGGTCATGGAGTTCTCGTGGAGCGCGCTCTGGAACATCACGGACGAGACGCCCGACAACTGCGAGATGTTCCTCAACTACAGCGGCATGAAGCTCTTCCTGGACTGCCTGAAGGTAGTGTCCCCGCCGCAGCCTCCGGGCCCTCCACGGCCACTCCAGTCCCCAGGCCCCCGCCCCCGGGGTTCCCACCGGAGGCCAGCAGGGGCCACTCACAGGCCCACCAGCCCAGGGTTTGCTGCAAACAGAAGCTCCAGAGGCCTTCCCTGACCCAGCGGCCTGGCTGGGCCCCCCTTACAGCCCTCCCTCCACGGGAAACCGCCCGCCCTCCACAGCGCCTCCTCAGGCCGCCTCGTCTGGCCAGGGCCCATCGGGACATCAGCTGGACAGAGTTCTGTCCAGTAGGATGGTCTGTTCATCCTGAAACACATCCTTTGTTTTCTTACTCTACTTTCTAAGGGGATTCCATTCAACTAGTATTTTTTTAATTTTTATTTTTTGTTAATCCTCACATGAGGATATTTTTGTCCATTGATTTTCAGAGAGAGTGGAAGGAAGGGGGAGAGAGAAAAACATCAATGTGAGAGAGACACATCGACTGGTTGCCTCCTGCACGTGCCCCAACAAGGGGTGGGGAGTAAACTGCAACCCAGGTACGTGCCCTTGACTGGGAATCGAATCAGAGACCCTTCGGTGCGCAGGGCAACGCTCTAACCATTGAGCGACACTGACCAGAACTAAACTGGTATTTTGAGCTTTGATAAACAGAACCATGTTTGTCCCATTCACAATTTTAGGTCCCATCCCCACTCAGCCTTTGATTTTTGTGGCAAGGAGCCCCCACCATTTTAATCCCTCATTGTGTGTACCCAGCACTGCCTGGGAGCACTAGGAGGCAGGAGGGCAGCATATTGCACCCCCTCTTTGTGTGTCGGAATGGCCAGACAGACGCTCACAAAGCGTCTAAGTTAAGCATACAGACTAATGAAGTACTAATTGACGTGGCCCGACGGCTCTCGTTTGGCCAGGAATTCCCCGAGAAGCAGGAACTCCATCGGAACATGCTGGGGCTCTTGGGAAATGTGGCAGAGGTGAGGGAGCTGCGGCCCCAGCTAATGACTTCCCAGTTCATCAGTGTCTTCAGGTTGGTGCTTCTCTCCTTTGCCTTTTTGCCTTGGCTGCCAGGATGCTCAGAGTTCTAGTCTGTGCTTAGTAGCAGCAATTGCTTTTAGCCTAGGTTTTTGTTATAAATATTACCTTCCCTCTATAGCAGTGATGGCGAACCTTTTGAGCTCGGCATGTCAGCATTTTGAAAAACCCTAACTTAACTCTGGTGCCGTGTCACATATAGAAATTTTTTGATATTTGCAACCAGAGTAAAACAAAGACTTATTTATATTTTTTATATTTATTTTATATTTATTTTATATTTAAATGCCATTTAACAAAGAAAAATCAACCAAAAAAATGAGTTCACGTGTCACCTCTGACACGCGTGTCATAGGTTCGCCATCAGTGCTCTATAGTATGGTTTCCTATTCTTTCAGCTCTCCAGAAATGGTCCTCTAGTGGCTAATCTCACAAGTCCTCTGGGTGTGGACAATAAGTGACAAAAAAATCAGTCGTTCCTCTGGCAGGTGGTTTGTAAGCTGGGCTCCAGCAGCTGGTATCTGAAGAGGGACTTGGGGGGAATTGGACTCCATTTCTCTCCCTTCTTGGCAGCAACCTGCTGGAGAGCAAGGCCGATGGGATTGAGGTTTCCTACAATGCCTGCGGCGTCCTGTCCCACATCATGTTTGATGGGCCCGAGGCCTGGGGCATCTGCGAACCCCAGCGGGAGGAGGTGGAGGAGCGCATGTGGGCGGCCATCCAGAGCTGGGACATCAACTCCCGGAGAAATATCAATTACAGTGCGGGTGGGGGGGGGGCGGGGGGGGCGGGGGCAGTGCTGGGACAGGACACTCTTTCCCTGCACGGTCTGGTCGGAGCCTCTGGCCTGTCTTCTATCCTCTGTCGGGTCTGACTTACCGAGGCTTTTGGACATGAGTGCTGATGGCCCAGGGAAGGTCACGGTCAGCAGTGCGGTCACACGTTCAGCCTCCCAGGGCGCAGCCCCACTCCCGCCCCCCGCAGGCTGGGCCACTCCTTGCTGAGGCCCCATTTCTGCACCACCTCGTCAGTGTCCCTCACCTCCCTATGTGTCCCGGCCCTTGACCTCTCGCACCGCACAAGGGAGCGGCCTTGCGGAGCCTGCAGGGGGTTGAAGGCCAGATGCCTGCATCCCCTGCGCCCTGCTGGCCTGCTCTCAGTTTGTCTACAGGGCCCCGCAGGGAGGAGAAATGTCAAGATGCTCTCCCCCAGACCCGGCACCAGAGTGACCTTGATTTCTCTTCCCACAGGTCGTTTGAGCCGATTCTTCGCCTCCTTCCCCAGGGCATTTCCCCCGTCAGCCAGCATTGGGCCACCTGGGCCCTGTACAACCTTGTGTCTGTCTACCGTGAGTACCCCCTGGCCTTGGTCAGACCCAGGGACACCCCGACTGAGGGCAGCCTTGCCCTCCGGAAACTTATAACCCAGCCTTGCCCTCCGAAAGCGTATAACCCAGCATTGCCCTCCGGAAGCTTACAACCCAGCCTTGCCCTCCGGAAGCTTATAACCCAGCCTTGCCCTCCGGAAGCTTATAACCCAGCCTTGCCCTCTGGAAGCTTATAACCCAGCCTTGCCCTCCGGAAGCGTATAGCCCAGCCTTGCCCTCCAGAAGCGTATAATCCAGCCTTGCCCTCCAGAAGTTTACAACCCAGCCTTGCCCTCCGGAGAGCTAAAACCAGTGTCTGTGCCTCGGAGCACAGCCCTCGCTCTCCAGCATTTGTGGGGCGCACAGCATAGTGGCTGGCCTGGCCCCATCACCAGAACAGGCCTGGCAGGCGAGACGGCCACCCGAAGTTCCCAGACAGCTCGCTCAATGTCTCCTGCTTCCATGTGAATGAACAGGCAGAAATCTCCATGCCCTCGGGAAGGCAGAGGGAGACCCACCCAAACAAAGAATCCGAGCGAACAGGAGAGAACCTTAGAACAGCTCTAACTTGCTTCCTCAGAGAGCCCCAGCCTCCTCCCGTAGGAGAGCCTGAGCTGTCCTCGGCTCTGCGACTCTGGGGGACGTGAGAAAGAGGGTGCCGCGCTAAGACTTAGATGGCAGACCAGGTGTGACCCCGAGTTCCCTCCCTTACTGCTTTGTGACCCCATGCGGGTTCTTTAACCTCCTCTGTGAAATGGGGAGAATGATGTCACCTACCTCATAAGATTGGTCTGAAAAGAGGACCAGCAGGAAGTGCTGAGCCGGGGCCTGCACATGCTCAGTCCTGTCAACCTGCAGAGCGGACATGCATTCGGGCTCGGGGGGCAGACAACCTGGGTTTGAAAACTGGCTCTACCACTTGCTGTGTTACTTTAAGCAGGTTTCTCGACCTCTCTGTGCCTTAACTGTCTCATCTTTAAGATGGGATAATAATAATAGCACTTACCTCATAGGATTGCTGTGAAAAAAGGCATGTTAAAGCACTTAGAACATACCGACTGTTCAATAAACAGTAGCCTCTTTTATTATTCTTTGAGGTTAGTTTTACTAAAAAGTAGCACCTTACCTCAAAGAGGCAGCGTAGCAGAGGAAAGAGCTCTGAACTGGGACTCCCTCGGACAAGCTCTGGAGTGACTGTGGGTGAATTACTTCATCTCTCTGAACCCCAGTTCTTTCATCTGTAAAATGGAGACAGTGAAGATAGTTCCTGCCACGTAGAGCTGCTGCAGGCCCATCGGAAGGCCGTGTTCTCCATGGACACCAGGCACTCGAATGCTCCTGGTTGGAGGGAACCATGAAACCCCCACTGGAAAGGCACGGTGTTCCACCCAGGCTGACCACCAGCGTCACCTGGGGGTATTTTGTTATAAACACACAAATAACGGTTCCTGGATCTGTTGAATCAGAATACCCAGGGCAAAGCTTAGGAATCTATGTTTTTACAAAACTTCCCAGAGAACAGAAGCCACCAGTTTAGGTGATATTTTCCATAGAGTGAGTTGGGCAGGAGGGGGAAATGCTGCTGCATACCAGAGTTGGGAGGAGCTTTTCCAAGGATTCACCCCTTGCTCCCTCGGGCTGGGCAGACATGGCTCTTCCCAGATTAGAGCAGGGCCCTCGCGCAGGCCTGTGCCTTCGTCCCACCTCTCTGAGAGGGCAGTCCTCACAGCAAGGGAGGGTTTTCTGGGCCACAAGCTGAGCGAAGACCCACCCTGATCCCCTGCTGTCTGCCCCTACCTACCCGCAGCGGATAAGTACTGCCCCCTGCTGATCAAAGAAAGGTGGGATGCCCCTTCTGAAGGGACATGATAAAAGATGGCCACGGCGCGGCAGGAAACCCAAAGAGATGGCCCGGTAAGAGACAGGCAGTGTTTCTGCTGAGAGCCTTGGTTTGGGGGGCTGAGGGACACGGTGGGCGGTCAGGACATGAGTTGAGTGTGGAGGTGGACAGCATATTGATGTCCAGCTGGGGCCTCCCTGAGTGTCATTTCAGCCACAGTGTGGCCATCAACAAGTCAAATCAGAATCTTTCATTATTTCTGGCTAAAAACATTCCAGCAGAAGGGAGGAAGCAGTGTGGTGACATACACGCTAGACATGAGGCAGGGCAGAGCGAACGTGTGTCTGAGGGCGAGGTCCCTGCACAGCGTCAGGCCCTTCGCTGCGGTGGGGTTTTCACGGAGTCTAAGACGTCACTGGACTGACGTCACAGTGATCCTTGCTTTCTCTAGGATCCATTCTAGGAGGGAGCGGCTTAAGTTTACCCCAATTCCTGACACAGTGCAGAATAGAGGGTCGTGGAGAGGGGCCTGGAGCTCCGAGTCTCGCAAGACACGACGGGGCTGGGAGTGTTGGCTGTTTCTGCGGTTCTTTTTGGCAAAAGGCACAGCTTAAACATTAACTGACAGATTTATCTGAGTTTAAGAATAGCAAAATGATGGTTCTCACATTTAATCTCCCTAAAGAATCATCTGGAAAGCCCGTTTGCGATGTACAGGCCCCAACCTGGATGTTCTCCCCCCGTGGGTGTGGGAGGTGGGCCTGGGGACGTTCACTGTCAACGGGGTCCCAGGAGGTCTGAGAAGCACTGGGTAAGACTGGCCCGGTCACTGTGGACATCTCCGTAAGACCCGAGTGTGTACCTGAGCTGCCTGTGTGACAGCAGCTGTGATTGGCACGGAAAGGGCGCTTCGGAGCAGTCGCTCCGCCTCATCCCAGCTCCTGCCCACGCCAGGCATCCCTTACTTCCTAAAACGCTTCCGGACGCTCCTTAGCCCTGAGAGGCTGCAGTGGACAGCACCGCCACCCACCCACCCACCCACGGGAAGGCCATCGGGGTCCAGGGTGACACCGGAGAGGGGTGGGGCAGCAGATCCCAAGGGCCAGAATGGAGTGGGTGAAGGACTCGAGGTCTGAGCACAAGTGGCTGTTCCCAGATGCTGCAGGACGTCGGCCCTGCGAGTCTGGTGTGCAGTCTGGGGCCATTAGTAGACTTTGGGGAAGAAAAGGCCTGAGTGTGCAGGGAAAAGTGAAGAAGAAAGACAGGCTGAAGAAAGGATTGGGGGGTTTGGAGGTCAGGCTTGAGCTGATTCAGGGGAGCCCCTGAGGCCGAGAGGGGGCAGGACATAGGGAGGAAGGCAGGGAAGACAGGGTACTGATGGCCACAGGTACCGTTTCCTGGGTGCTCTGCACAGGCCCGGCCACTCTGCCAGCCACACACCATCTCAGTCAGCATCATTGTTAACATTTGCTGACAAATTCAGCGGCCTGATCAGCGGGGAGGGACATGGCCCAGCCGACCCCAGCCCGCCTTCCAATGCTCTCCCGTTGTCTCCAGAAAGGTGATCGAGCACTGCGGTAACTTTAAGGAGGAGAACATGGACACGTCCAGATAGAGGCCTTGTCCCATGGCCGCCACTGCTCTGGACACAGGCCGGCAGGCAGCACTCAACAGCCCAGCCGGCAGACCCCACCGGGAGCCTCCCACTGGATGAAGGGACACGAGGACTTTTGCACAACTGACGCTTTTCCTTAACATTAGTGAGATATATATATTATATATATATTATTTTTTTTTGTTAGGAAGTGTGAAGTTTTGTGTATATGATTTCTGTACAAAAACAAAAGAAATACTCCCTGAGTCCTTGCAGCTTCCTTGGCCATTCTCAAGCCCTAACTCAGCCTTCATTGCTGCCACACTCCACCTCCCCCCAACTAAATGCCTCGAACATTGCGAGTGTCCGGTCCTTCCCCAGTAATCTCAGACCCTGGCCTGGCTTCCTCTTAGGAGAGGCAGCAGGCTTTTAACAGCCCACTCCAGCACTAGCCCACCCAGCAGAGCCTGAGAACCGCGCCTGGGTTCCTGAGGGCAGCTGATGGAGTTTAGGGATTAAAACCCACCCCACTGAGTCTCCTGAATGCCTTGGTGCTCCCAGCTGTGGGCCATCTGGGGCAAAGAAGTGAGCTGTCTCTAGGCCTACGCCCAGGCAGCCCCGGCCCCAGAGGCCCCTCCAGGAGCGGGGCTCCCAGTGGCCCTGCTGCTCTCTGGCCAGGCCTGCCTGAGGCCAAGCTGCTACGGAGGCTGCTTGTCTCCCACCAGGTCCCAGGCAGTTGAAGGCCCCAGTCCAGGGCTGGTCCACTGCCCACTCTGCCAAACATATCCAGAACCTGCCCCCCGGCCTGGGAGCCAGCACCTTCTGGGACCTGGGGCTTGTTACTCTCTGGCCCTTCATCTGCCCACAGCACCCAAGGTGCCCAGGCACCCCACCAGCAGAACTGAGCCTGCCTCATTCGCCCTGCCTGCCCACTGCGCACAGGACCCCACTCCTCAGGCAGGCGCTCCCCCCCGCAGCGGCAGGCAGACGCCTCCGGACCAGCACGGGGAGACCCTCCTGTGCTGCCCGGCGGCTTTACCTTGGAAAACTCTGAGCTGAGTTCCAGAGAAGTGTGAGCCCCAAATGTATCCGAGTATCGTGCTCCCCCAGCGTAACTCCGAACTGCTGCTCTCGTGGGGTGGGGTGAGGAGGCCCCTCCAGAACCAGGGGCCTGGAGCGGGGCTGACTGCAGGCAGTCCTGGGGCGTGGCTTTTCTTCCCTCCTCCTTGCCCGGGCCTGTTGCTGGATTCTCCTAGCACTTCTGCGAGGAGCAGCCCTGCCGAGAGGCACCTGGCCTTTTCCTCCTGGAGTCTTTCCCTCCCAGCCCTGGGGCGGGGCAGCTGCCCTGCGTTCCCAGCTCGCCCTCCCTTCCATGCCCAGGTGGCCTGAGCCAGCCCCCTGGGCAGAGCTCACATTGCATTGCTTTGCCACCTGGGTCCTGGGTAAATGTCTGTACTTTGGGGTGTCACAGAAATACATTTTTGTGAAAAGTGGAGAAGAGCAGTGTCTTTTTTTGTGTGGAAGGGGTGGGGTCAGGAGAGGGGCCGCGTTCTCTCTGCTACCCTGTGCCCAGACTCAGGGTCCAGCTGGCAGCCAGCACCACGGCTCTGCCTAGGGTGGCTTGGTCTGATGGTAGAGACAAATGTTAGGTATGAAATTATGAGCCAGTGTGTGATGGGCAGAGAGAAGGGAGCCCGGAGGCACCTCCTGTGGGCTGGGGGGTGGAAGGGGGGCGTTGGGGAAGACCAGTTAGCTGGGCCACAGCGCTTCAGGGCCAGGAAGAGCCCCTCGGGGGCCCGAGGCAGCATGGTGCTCCTCACGCAGTCAGGGCAGCTTCTCAGAGGAGAGGAAACTCGGGAAGGTGAATCCAGGGGAAAGACGAGGCAGCCAGGCCGGCTGTGCAGGGCCCAAGGAAAGAGCATCGAGACAGAGGGCCCGGCCCGGCCACGAGAAGGGCCTTGCGGGGAGGACCACGAGCAGCCTGTGGGGCTGCAGCAGAGTGAGGGAACGAGGGGGCGAGCAGAAGTCACTGGGGCCAAATCACCAGGTGACCACACTCTGGCTTTGCCCAGGATGGTCCTGGTTCCACTTGTCCCAGTGTGACTATCACCGTGCCCTCTGTGCCCCTGGGGTACGCCTCAGGCTGCACCCAATGGGGGAGGGCCACTGCACGAAGAACAGATCCAGGGGAGCCATTCCCACGTGTGCCAGGTGGGTGTGTGCCCAGTGTCCGAGAAAAAGAGTCTCTCCTTGACCAAATCGTAGCCAGGCTCCTCAGCCCTCTGCTCCACTGGGCCTCAGCCTTGACCGACAAAAACCACTGCAGATGCTCAAGCTCGTGATTTCGTCCACCTCCCTCCTCCCACGTTAAAAACGTTAAACACTAAAATAGTTTCTAAGAGCTCCAGGTTGCATTCCTAGGATGACCCTAGCCCACCTTAAAGCACTGGCCTGAGGGCTCAAGGCCGTTAAAAGACCATCGACCCCACACACCAGGCTGTCTTAGAGTATTCACCAAAAAGGGCTTGTAACTGTGACCCCTTCCTCTGTCCCTCTGAAATGAATTTGTATCTTCTCAGGGGTGTCTTTCTCAAGGACCTGAACGCCATTCTTTTGAAATGTAATCCTCAGGAAGGATGGGGCGGGCCTGTCTCCTCGTCTCTGGGAGGATAGAAGCCAAACTTCAGCAACTGCCAGCCAGCAGACACAGCGGGCATAATGAGCGTTTACTCACCAACCCTTCGTAATGTTTCACGCCCCGGAGTCTGCCCAAGCCCCCAGTTCACCAATCGCTTCTGGCCTTTTGGCTAAGATCAAATGTAGTGGTAGCGTCTGTCTGTTCTTTTTTTCAATTGTGTGCCCACCACCACAATCAAATCGTCTTCCGTCACCATAAATATGGCCCCCTTTTCCTTTACTCCCGTACCCCCAGTGTCTGTTCTTGTCGGTTTAAAATGCCCGGTCACCTCTGTGCAAATTGAAGTGGCGCTGAGTTCACGCTGGAACCTCTTCCCTACGACAAGAGGGTATTACCGATTAAATCTGTCCTTACCACTTTAGTTTCCGACTTGATCTGTGACATCAGTATGTCACTGACTCATGGAAGCTTCAGGGTTAAGTGGATAATGTGCTAGAATTCCTCACTCAGCTAAATCATACTCCATTGCAGTTATCAAGACTGAGTTGCGAGAGAAACCAAGATGGCGGCATAGGTAAACACCAGAGTTTGCTGCCTCGCACAACAACTTCAAAAATACAACTAAAAGACGGAACAGACATCATCCAGAACCACAGGAAGGCTGGCTGAGTGGAAATTCTACAACTAGAAGGAAAGAGAAAAGCTTACTGAGACTCAGAGGAGGTGCGGTGTGGAAGTAAAATACTAAGGTACAGAGGCACACATGGAGCAGGCTGGCGGCTGAGGGCGCGGTTGTCGTTTTCAATCGGGAGGGAGTCTCAGGCTCTGAGCTCCAGTTCCAGGCAAGTCTCTGGGGACCCAGACTCATACGGGAGAAGCGGGACTGTTTGGCATCGGTCAGAACCCGAGGGCAGCTTTCTCTCAGAGGTGCTTGCAGCGATTACTGGGACACTGAGAAGCAGAGCCTCTGAGGGCAGGACTGAGAGCAGCCATAACTGCTAGCCCCGCCCTGTTGATCCCGTGGGACCTGCCCCGCCCAAGCCCTGCAGGGAGGCTTTTGCTGGGTAGCCTCAGGCAAAGGCTAGATTAGCACCTCCCTAGAGATCCAGGAGCCAGGAAGCCCAGAGGTCAGAGTGGGACCATCCAGTTTGCAGCTCCGTGGAACCGTAAAAGACACACCTAGGGTGCAGACTCAGTGAGCACTAAAGCCCCATTGAAGCAAGTCTTGCCCCAGAGGGTGTCTCCAGCACAGAAGTTCTCCCACCGTAGACACAGCTGATTCTCACAGCCAGTTGGCCTGGAGGTCAATTCCTCCCAGTGATAACTACAACAATCAAGGCTTAACTACAACAAGACTGTGCACAAAGCCCACAAGGGGGTGCACCAAGAGTGTCCTCCTCAGGTAATTGGGGAGGCTGAACCACTGGGCCCTAGAGGACACTTAGCACAGAAAACCACTTTATCAACACAGGGAAGCATAAAAAATGCGGAGACAAAGAAACAGGACACAAATGACAGAAATGGAGGAAAGCAAACTACTGGATATAGAGTTCAAAACCACACTATTAAGGTTTTTCAAAAACTTTCTAGAAGCCACCGATAAATTTAGTAAGACCCTCGAAAAGACTGGTGAGACCGCCGATAAATGTAGTGAGATCCTCAAGAAATCTAGTCAGACCCTCAAGGTTATGATAAAGGACCAACTGCAAATTAAGCATACACTGACTGAAATAAAGGATATTATACAGACTCCCAACAGCAGACTAGAGGATCGCAAGTATCAAGTCAAAGATTTGAAATACGAAGAAGCAAAAAACACCCAACCGGAAAAGCAAAATGAAAAAAGAATCCAAAAATACGAAGCTAGTGTAAGGAGCCTATGGGACAGCTTCAAGCATACCAACATCCGAATTATAGAGGTGCCAGAAGAAGAGAGAGATGTTAACGAAAAAAACCATTGAAACCTATAAGGAATTTTTGTGAGTTTATTTGAGCCAAACTGTCGACATATGCCGGGAAGCAGAACCTCAATGAATTGAGATAGTGCTCCGGAGAATGGCAAGGTTACATCCGTATTTATACATGAAATTCATTGGTGACAGATTTAAGGAGGTGGGATTAAGCGAAGCGGGGAAACCTCTGTGATAGGATAAAAAGTAAAATGATGGACACATACTTAGGTGGGTACAGGATCAATTAACATGATAATGAAGGAATTTGTAGTATTTGTCCTGGCGCCCAGAACATTTGGTTGTGCCCCAGGGGCTCCAGAAAAAAGGGAAGTTACAAGTTACCCAGACATTTCAAAGGGTATGTTATCTTAGAGGCAAAAAGGCAAATGGGCTCAGTAAGGATCAAAGTGATCTTGTCAGTGAAGATACTGGCCTAGGACATACTGCCACCATAACTGCTTTTAGTTAAAGTTTAATTTCAGACCATCCTTTGTGGTTACTTAGGTCTCCGAGTCTGCAGAACTGCCATGCAGGCCTCTCCTGAGCTTGTCAGGTCAGCATGTGGCCCCTTTCGTCCACAGAGAGCAAGATATTGAAAACCTATTTGAAGAAATAATGACAGAAAACTTCCCCTACCTGGTGAAAGAAATAGACTTACAAGTCCAGGAAGCGCAGAGAACCCCAAACAAAAGGAACCCAAAGAGGACCACACCAAGACACATCATAATTAAAATGCCAAGAGCAAAAGACAAAGAGAGAATCTTAAAAGCAGCAAGAGAAAGAAAGGCAGTTACCGACAAGGGAGTACCCATAAGACTGTCAGCTGATTTCTCAACAGAAACTTTGCAGGCCAGAAGGGAGTGGCAAGAAATATTCAAAGTGATGAATGCCAAGAATCTACAACCAAGATTACTTTATCCAGCAAAGCTATCATTCAGAATTGAAGGTCAGATAAAGAGCTTCACAGATAAGAAAAAGCTAAAGGAGTTCATCACCACCAAACCAGTATTATATGAAATGCTGAAAGGTATCCTTTAAGAAGAGGAAGAAGAAGAAAAAGGTAAAGATACAAATTATGAAAAACAAAAACACATCTATCAACAAGTGAATCTAAAAATCAAGTGAATTGCCGAAACCGGTTTGGCTCAGTGGATAGAGCGTCCGCCTGTGGACTGAAGGGTCCCAGGTTCGATTCCGGTCAAGGGCATGTACCTTGGCTGCGGGCACATCCCCAGTAGGGGGTGTGCAGGAGGCAGCTGATCAATGTTTCTGTCTCATCGATGTTTCTAACTCTCTATCTCTCTGTTTCTCTCTGTAAAAAATCAATAAAATATATTTAAATAAATAAATAAAAATAAAAATCAAGTGAATAAATAATCTGATGAACAGAATGAACTGGTGATTATAATAGAATCAGGGGCATAGAAAGGAAATGGACTGACTATTCTTGCGGGGGAAAGGGGTGTGGGGGATGCGGGTAGAGACTGGACAAAAATCGTGCATCTATGGATGAGGACAATGGGTGGGGAGTGAGGGCAGAGGGTGGGGTGGGAACTGGGTGGAGGGGAGTTATGGGGGGAAAAAAGAGGAACAAATGTAATAATCTGAACAATAAAGATTTAACTTAAAAAAAAAGATTGAGTTGCAAGTGACAGACACCCGATTCAAACACCAACCCAGATTAGTCAGAGGTTGGAGGGTGGGATTCACTGACTAATGCAACTGGGGAAACTAGAGCTAATACCAGCTTCAGGCAAAGCTGGATGTAGGGGCCCAGACAATGTTAAGACTGTCTTTCATACACCCTTTTGGTCCTGCTTATCTCTGTCTCTTTATAAGATGGCCTCACCTTCTCCGGCCACAGTCTCTCTCCACAGAGTGTAAAGACAGCTGTCAGTTGCCCTTATACTCTATTCCTGCTTGAGATCCCAAAGAAAGCCTTTCTCAGCAGCTTTGCCTTACTCCCATGGAATGATTATAATTGGCCCTGCCAAGTCACATGCCCACCAACTAGGACCAATCACTGGAGACAACCAGATGGGCAAGTGCTTGGCTTTCTAGAGTCACACGCCTACAATGACTTCCCACCACTCTATGGAGTGAGGGACACAGTTCCTTCAGAATCACATGAGATGGGGAAGAGTTAGTTCCCCAACAGAAAAAGGAATGTTGAGCTGACAAAAATAACAGATGTCATGTCCTAGCTGGTTTTGCTCAGTGGGTAGAGCATCAGCCTGGTCAGGGCACATGCCTGGGTTGCGGGCTGGATCCTCCTCAGTAGGGGGCGTGCAAGAGGCAGCCAGTCAATGATTCTCATCATTGATGTTTCTATCTCTCTATCCCTCTCCCTTCCTCTCTGAAATCAATAAAAACATATTTAAAAAAATAATAGATGTCAGAAAAGGATCCCCGGGCCCTGGCCGGATAGCTCACTTGGTCACTTGGTTAGAGCATCCTCCCAATACTGCAAGGTTATGGGTACGATCCCCATCAGGGCACATACAAGAATCAACCAATGAATGCATAAATTAGTGGAACAACCAATCTGTATTTCTCTCCCTCTCAAATAAAAAAAAAAAAATTAAGAGGCTTGCTGTAGAAGTTGGAAGGGGGCCAATCTGATGGAGAAAGAAGGTGGACATTGGTATTAGTGGGAGGTGTGGGTGCAAAGGCAGAGCTGAATAAGGAAGGCCCTGGAGACACGGCTGAAGGAGTATGGGCAGTGAATGACGAAGCCTCGGGTCGGGAAGCCGGGCTGGCAGGGTGTCGCTGGGGTCTAAGCACTGTGCTGGACGCTGTGCTGCCATTAGTAAATCCTCCCAACCACCTCCGGAGGGGATGCCATTATCATCTGTTATACAGACAAAAAGCAGAGCTCAAAGTGGTTCAGTAACTTGCCCACGCTCTCACAGAGAGGAAGGGAGAGCGTGGCATTCCTGACTCGGACCCAAGTTGGGCCTCTGGTAGCCTGAACCTGCACCACGGAACCCCACTTTGCTCTAAACCCGTTTGCGATCCCTGATAATGAACAGCAAGGAGGTAAGAATGTCACCACTGAGCCTTGGGCGAGCGCTGCCTGTTGAAACCTCAGTCATCACATCTTTGAACCGGGCACAATTCTGCAACCTGGACTCCACACACCTGGATCTTTGAAGCTCCCAGGGAGCGGCACGCATGCGCGAGGCTGTGGGGCTGGGAAGGGATGGAGACCTGCGACGGCTCCGGGCTCCGAAAACACACCTGCCGGGAAGGGACTGGGGTGGCGGAGCTACGGGCTGCGCGCGCGCCGGCCCCGCCCTCAGCCTCTTCAGGCACCTGTTGGCTCGAGGACCTACTCGGCCGCAGCTGCTATCCAATAGGCAGCCTCCCTGCCCCAGCCTGACCCCGCCCACTCCCAGGATTCGCCAATCGCCGGGCATCTGGGCCCCTCTCCCTCGGAGGGCCCGCCCCTCTGGGCGCTTCTTCCGGGTGGGGCCGGGGGCCGAGGTTATGGCGCCCTGGGCGCTCCTCAGCCCGGGCGTCCTGGTGCGGACCGGGCACACGGTGCTGACCTGGGGAATCACGCTGGTGCTCTTCCTGCACGACACCGGTGAGCCGGACCCGCGCCACCCGGACCCACCCGCTCCCCCGTGGTCCCCAGACATTTGGATCTTACTGGGTCCCCCGCCGAAGCCCCAGAGACCCGGGGGGACCACCCGTCTCCGCCGGCTCCCGAGGCCCCTTCCCCGCCTGTCATTCCAAGAGTTTCCGCCTAAGACCCCGTCAGTCCCTAATTCATCCCAGCGTCTTCCTGGTCCCTGCCACATGCCCTGTCCATCCCGGGACCCATGCGATGGCCACCTGATCCGATGACCAAGTCCAGCCCCCATCTCCCCTGGTCTCAGGATCCACCGATCCTGCCCGGGAATTGACTCCCAACCTTCCCTCCGCCGCCCAAGTCCAGGCTCCCCATCCTCAGGCAAGAGAGCACCTCACAGGGAAGTGACCCCTCCTCCATGTCCCCACCCTTGCTTCTTGCCCTAGTAGCTCTCACCCCACAGACACCCCCACTCCCATCCCTCCCCTTGGGTTCCCACCCCTCCTTGCTTCAGCCTCCCCCCCTGGGCCGGGGTGTTCTCACTTTCTTCCTAAGACCTTCTCAAGTTTCCTCCACAGTCTTTGCCCTTTATTTTTTTAAATATATTTTTATTGATTTCCGAGAGGAAGGGAGGAGAGCTGGAAACATCAGTGATGGCAGAGAATCATTGATCGGCCGCCTCCTGCACACCCCACACTGGTGGAGTCCACAACCCGGGCGTGTGCCCTGATCAGGAACTGAAACGTGACCTCCTAGTTCATAGGTCGATGCTCAACCACTGAGCCACGCCAGCCGGGCCAGTCTTCGCCCTTTAGCCTAAAAACCTGCTCAGTCTCCCCATCAGAAAGAAACCCCCCTTCTTTCTCTGCTCCTTTTACAACCGGAGTTGTTCACTCTGCTGTCTGGCTATCTCACACCCCTCGTATCTTAGCGCCCCCCCCCTACTCCCCGCCTCCCCCAAATCCTCAGTCACCTCTTTGGTCTGGACCAGGGGTGGGCAAACTTTTTGACTCAAGGGCCACAATGGGTTCTTAAACTGGACCGGAGGGCCGGAACAAAAGCATGGATGGAGTGTTTGTGTGAACTAATATAAATTCAAAGTAAACATCATTACATAAAAGGGTACGGTCTTTTTTTTTTTTTTTAGTTTTATTCATTTCAAACAGGCCGTATCCGGCCCGCAGGCCGTAGTTTGCCCACGGCTGCTCTAGACCCTTCCTGGCCTGGGCCACCATCCTGGCCCTCTTTGCAGCATCTGAGCCTGCCAGTCCCGCCTTCCTGTCTGTCTCATGAGCCTCTCAGACCTGGCTGGTCTCCCACGGTGGAGCCAGAGGCAGGGACCCCCTCCTTCCTCTCCCCGACATCCAGTCAGGTCTGGCCCCTTCACTCCCTAACCCCCATCTGTCCATCTCCTCCTCTCCGCTCTCGTCCAGCCACCTTCCTCTCCCTTCTGGACAGCCCTCTCTCTGTGCCTCCAGGCTTCCCCTCTGATCACCTTCACTGGGAGGGTTTCCAGATCTGCCCTCTAACCTTCCATGATTCCCTGGTGCCCTCCAGAGAGTAGAGATGAGCTGCCTTTCTCTTTTTTTGCTGGTCCTGAACTGTACCTATGCAGGAGACACACCTGGACACTCATCAAACCCCATCCCCAGGCCTTTGCTCAGCCAGCACACACTCCCCCCTCCACCTGTACCTGCCCCCTGCCCCTTCCCCCACACCCCCTCCTGTCCCCCAGCCCGGCCTCACTCTCCTCTGGCCTCGGCAGCACTGCGACAATGGGAAGAACAGGGGGAGCTTTTCCTGCCCCTCACCTTCCTGCTCCTCGTCCTGGGCTCCCTGCTGCTCTATCTGGCCGTGTCACTCATGGACCCCAGGCTACGTGAACATCCAGCCCCAGGTAACCAGGGGGCCCCTGGGGAACTGAACCCCTCCTCCCACCAACAGGGGACCCAAGGCCCCAATAACAGTCTCATGCCAGGTTGTGTGTGGAGGGCTTTTCTGGGGCATCTCAGTGAATCCTCTTGCCAGCCCAGAAACCCATCTGCAGTGAGGAAATGGCCAAGGCCCAGAGAGGGAAAGCAACTGGCAAGGGTCACACAGCCTCACTAGGTCCAGGGCACTGTGCCCCACTCTACCACCTCATTACCCATGGGATGGCCTCCAAAATGTGTTCACCAGCCACCTGCCTCCCCAGGGGACCCCCATCTTATGGCCTGGCCCCCATTTTCAGGAGGAGGCCAAGGAGGAGCAGACAGCCATGGTTCCTCCGGCCATCGCCCTTCGGCGCTGCAGACACTGCATGGTGCTGGTGAGTGGCTCAGGGACTTCCTGGAGGGCCAGGGGTAAGGTTGAGACCGATCGCCTCCTGCCCCAGCGCCTTGGCCTCACCCCCCAGGCCTCCCAGACTCAGGCCCCGACCTCCCACCCTCATCCCTGCCCTCGCTGTTGGTCTGGGGGGACCCAGTGTCGAGCCCGACTCTCTGTGCCCAGCAACCCCTGCGGGCCCGGCACTGCAGCGAGTGCCGCCGCTGCGTCCGCCGCTACGACCACCACTGCCCCTGGATGGAGAACTGTGTGGGGGAACGGAACCACCCGCTCTTCGTGGCCTACCTGGCGCTGCAGCTTGTGGTGCTTCTGTGGGGCCTGTACCTGGCATGGTGGGTCCCGCCGCTGCCTTGTGTGTGTGTGGAGGGGGTGTGGGGAGGTCGGGCAGCATGTGCCCACAAGGTGTGCACAGCCGGACACCTTCAGGGGCCCCGACCCTTCACCATTGGCCTGCCCTCCTGGGCTCCCTGGGGCGCCCTTGCCTTCTCCCAGCTCTGGGCCCCCATCCCTCTGCTGCCCCACAGGTCCGGCCTCCGCTTCTTCCAGCCCTGGGGGCTGTGGCTGCGGTCCAGCGGGCTCCTGTTCGCCACCTTCCTGCTGCTCTCCCTCTTCTCCATGGTGGCCGGCCTGCTCCTGGCCTCGCACATCTACCTGGTGGCCAGCAACACCACCACCTGGGAGTTCCTCTCCTCGCACCGCATCGCCTACCTCCGCCAGCGCCCCGGCAACCCCTTTGACCGGGGCCTGATCCGCAACCTGGCCCACTTCTTCTGCGGATGGCCCTCGGGGCCCTGGGAGACCCTCTTGGCCGAGGAGGAGGAGGAAGAGGGTGAGGGCAGCAGCCAGGCTGTTTAGGGTC